TACTACATACAATTTACAGCAGGAGAGCATCGCATTAATGTTGTATGTATGTTATGTATGCATGTGGCATATCGATGTTCATGGGCCATTTTATGGGCCATTTAGAACAGCGAATAGATACAAAAGAAAAGGCCGATTTCCATGGCAGATACACTCGCACCGTACCCAAAGTAGTTTACTCTTTTAATAGGTCAGCTCTTGATCTTGTCTCGGCGACGGCGATGGCGACGGCGGAGAAAGGCAGGCCAGGCCAGGCCAGGCCAGGTCTGGGCTGAGGCGAAATACTCGTAACAAATGTGCTTCTGCCTTCTGTCCATTGTCCGCCCCCCATGTTTGTATATACTCTATATATATGTATATGTATGTCTGTATGTGTGCTTGCATAGTGGGCATCTTTGTCCCGACGCCCGCTGGGGCCAACAACACGTACCCAAATGGCACAGTAGCTGGAACAGATGACTGCGGCTAAGCCAGAGACTTCCAGGTCCAGGTCCAGCTCCAGGTTCAAGACTGTCCGATCAGTCGCCCCATCCACAGGCACAGGCACAGGCACAGCCACATCCTCATCCCTCCCCCCTACCCCCTCCCATCAGCCCAACTCCGAGTCCATTCAGCGCATGTCATGTCTCGTATCTTTTGTGCTAATCGTAAATAACTGTCGAAATTTTTTGCTACTGTATGTGATTTGCACATGGCAGGAGGATGAAAAGGAGTTGCGAAGTCGCTGTTTGCCCCCCACTCCACCCCACCACACTTCTGATGTTGCCTTATGCCTTGTGCCCCCGGGGCCGGGGCCGGGGCCCCGATGCCATGCTGCGGCCAGAGTTGCTTTTTGGATGCTGTTCGCTGCTGGGGCTGGGGCTGGGGCTGGTGCTGCGCCTTAAAAGCGATCCTCTCTGGTCGATGTCGTTGTTGTTGTTGTTGTTGCTGTTGCTGTGCTTGCTGTGGCTGTGCTTGCTGTTGTTATCTCTGACGTTGCCAATCGTTGCAGGCTGCACAGTGGGTGTGTATGCGTGATTTGTTCTCACAAATAAATGGACTACGATAGTTCAGCTAGCAATGGAATATTGTAAACAAATAAACCAACCAATTTTGGGTTCACTCTGTTTTTGGGCATATAAAATTCGAATAATATAATTTATATGTGGGCCTATGCCATTTTTAAGTTGAGAAACGCTAAAGAAGTTTCCAATTAAAGCACTTTTCCATTCAACGAACGAAATTACATTCTCTGCCATAGAACACTTGGCTAAGCCCTAAGCCCTAAGCCTCTCTCTGCATATGGAACATAAATATTTCTGTCAGTGTTTTTCAGCGACTTAATCCACTGTGATTCAGTTAGTTGCGAAGGGGGAATGGGATTGGGAATGGGCTGACTGGCTGGCTGGCTCGGATGGTTGGGGCTGCTGTTGGTTGGTTGGTTCGTTCGTTCGTTCGTTGGATCGCTGTAAAGGCCTCTCTTTATATGCGCACCTTAAAAAACAACAACAAGATGCTTAATGCTTTTTGTCTTTTTTTTTTCGCATTGCCACACTTATTGCCACGCAGTCGAAGATACACAAACACACACTAACACACAGACACAGGTCCAGATACAGATGCAGGGGCAGAGATACAGGTACAGATACACACGGGGCATAGGCTGGAAACCGGAGTTGGAGTTGGAGTTGAAGCTCGGTGCTTGGAGCTTGGCCTGGGTCTGACTCTGGGCTGGGGCTGGGGCTGGAGTTTTTTTTTTTTTTTACTTTTTGCTGTTGTTTGAGGCACAGCCAGAGCCGGAGTTGGAGTCGGAGTTGGAGGCACGACGAGAGTTGAGTAAAAAACATGTTTGGATTTAATTCTTTTTATTTATTTTCACCGTCGTCGCTGGCTTTTTTCCATGTTGCTTTCTTTCTTTGCTTTTTGGACATGTATCTGCGAGATACTTTTTGTTGTTGCTGCCTTTGGCTGCCTTTGCTGCCTTTGCTGCCTTTGCTGCTTGTGTGCCATGATGATGACGCTGACAAAGGTCTTTCCTCGCCTCCCCCCACCGCACCACACAGCAGCCCCAGCACCAGCCACAGACACATCCACAGACCCGTTGCCATACGCGATTTTAATGAAGCACTTAAAAAGCATAAATGAAAATAAAACCCAACAAAGGCAGGCAGGCAGGCAGGCAGTCAGGCAGTCAGACACAGAGCAGATAGCCTCAGTGTGCCCGTCCTCGGTCCCTTCCCTGCCTGCACAGAGTCCGGGCCGATCCGCAGAACGACAATTGATGTGGAGCCTGTGCCCTGTGCCGGTGCCCTGTGCCTGTGCCTGGCCCGAGCCAGGGGTCCGTCTCTGGGTCCATGTGCCTGTAGTTGATGTGCCCGCCCGGCCGTCCCAACCGTCCTCGATCCATCTACAGATACATTACTTTTTACTGTCGAAGTTTGTCCCTTAGATGCGTAGATACACCACGCAAGTAGCTCTCTCGGCCCTGCCTGCCTGCCCTGCGACTCAAATTAATTCTAATCTAGCAAATTACGGCGGACCATTTATGCAGTCATAAAAATTAAAGACGCCGCTCTCCTCACCCCCTCCCCCTATCCCTCTCCAACGGCCGATAACAAAGTGCGTGTGCGTTCATTATGCGGCCCGGCGACGGAGACTCCCAGAGTTAAACATCTCGCAGATACGCAGATACACTCTACGCATCCCCCATCCCCCCATCGCCTGCCATCCTGTACTGTACTGTGTGCCCCCAAAAACAGTAGCCAATAAAACGACAAACATTAAAAACATTAACGGTCGCATTACCAATGGACAGGGATGGGTGGGTGGTGCACGGAATTGATAGAGTCGCCCATTGCCATTGCCAATTGTCATTGCCGTTGAATAATTAAGCAGTGCCACGACGCACTCCCACCAACCACCACAAATCCCGAACCAATTCATTGCTAAATTATTCCAACAAATGAGTGGGGTGGGGGAGCCCACTTCATGCACTCGCCCCCACTCGCTTGGGTGCCTCTTGTCACTAATCAAATTGATGGCTCATTGATGCTTCTCAGCTTCCCGATATCTGTTCAAGCATAAATATCACATAGATAGTAGATCTCATGGCCCAACTTTGACATCTTATTTATGGAGTTCTGATACATCGTAGATCCATGCTTGATCCCTAACGCGTGTGTACGGGTATTAAGCACTACATAGTGCCCTTTCGTTGAACTATATTTAACAACTTTTTGAGAAATGGTTTTTTCCGTGTCGCCAGTACATAATTAATATATATCAATCAATACCAATATACCAATATACATAGTTGATATTTTTCAACAACATTAACAGCAGCTGTACAATTCTCTACTATCATTCTCTTATCCATTGCCATTTACACTAGCCACTAAGTAACAGAAGGGGGTCATCATGTATATATGTACATATGTATGTATGTATGTTGCTTTCATGGTAGTCTCTCCTTGTGTCATCACTCCCAAGCACAGGCCCTGTATTGGCCACCACTTACGCATCCATCGTTCTTTTACAAATTCGCTTTACGGACACCCTGCTAAATACTTGAGTACCCCTACCTTATGCCAAATCTTGTTTGTTTTGCAGTTTCATTCGCTGCTGCCTTCTTTTCGATGGGTGGGTGAAGTGTGCGGTGAGGGTGAGGGGTCGTCGGCAGGGGAGCCTCTGTGGGTCGCTGCTCTGCATGGGGGTCGGGGTCTGGGGCAGGCATTGAGTAAATGAACACTGCGTTGGTCTCTCCTCTGGCTCTGGCTCTGCGCCTACCTCTGTCAATGCACTTTCCGTCTCTGTCTCTCTCGTTCACTGTAATTGTAGGTGGGTGAGAGACCGAGAAGGGGGGGTGTTGCAATTCTGTGCAGTTGTGCAAGTAGTTGCGGGTTCATTGCACGTACACGCACACACACACACACACACACGCACACACTCGTTCACTGAGAGCTCCCAAAACGGACAGCGACCAAACGACCCACCCACTGTCGGGCCGACAGTCGCGTCCCTCTCTGGCTGGCTGTCGGGCTGTCTGGCTGTCGGTTGCGTGTCGCCGCACGCCAATGGGGCCTGATGTTTAGACCCGGCATCGGCATCGGCATCGGTCTCCTCTCTCTCTCTCTCTCTACATCTGTGTATTCCCCGCCCCGTATCTGTGCACTATCCACACTGCTTCGTCTCGGTCATCGTGGATTTCGCTCTGTTTGCGGACCTGCATTTTACTCTGCACTCGTAGCTGCTCTTTTGTTTCATGTTCGCTGCTGCGTCGCGGAGAGCGCTTCTAATGCCTGCCTCTGCCTCTGTCTCTCCTCTGCCTCTCTGTCGGGCTCCAAAACCACCTTCCTTCCAGCAGCGGAGGGCGGTGGAGGAGGGTCGAGGGCTGCCTGTTGTTTATCGTCGCCTTTCTTTTTCCTTCTTTTTCTTTTTCTTTTCCTTTTGCTTGTTTTTCGGTTTTTGCAGCTCTGTCTTCTCTTCGGTGCTTCTCTGCTACTGCGCTCTGTCCACTGCCGCCACTGTTGCTGCTGTTGCTGTTGCTGCTGCTGTTGCTCCTCTTCTGTTTCCTTTTGTCTGTTTTGTTGTGTGCTCTTTGTCGTCTTATGGGGCCCTTCGCCTCCTCCTCCACCCGCACCTACACACACACACAGACGTCGCGTCGTCGTCGTCTCTGCTTGTTGTAGCTTTTTCTGCTGCCTCTGCCTCTGTCGCTGCCGTTTTTTTGCACATTCTGCCTGTTCTCTCTTCTCGCCTGCATTTTGTGTATCTCATCTCGTGTACGCTTTCGCTGCCTTTCCAATCTCTTCGTTCGGCATCCATCGCTGCGCCCCAACAACAGCAACAACAGCAACAAAAACAAACACAAGAGGTAGAAACAGCAACACCAAAACGCGGCGCGTCGACGCCACCGTCGTTGACGTCGTCGTCGTCGTCGTCGTCTCCGTCATTCGTTTTCTCTATTTTCCTCAATCGCTTTGCCTTTTCATTTTCAATTCGCATATTTTTGCAACTCTACTTTCAGTTATTCGCCGATAATTGATGTCAAAGGACGCAGTGCTGTGCTCCGTCGTTGCCGTTCCGCCCAGACACCACTGCCGCTGGCTCCAATCCGGCGACGAATCGTAATACCATCCATCCGTGGGACTGGGACTGGGAGACCCGTGCAATCCGTATCTTCGGCCGACCATGCCCAAAGAGGATCCATTCGTGAATCGCGCCCAGCTGCTGAAGGCCATCAAGAAGTATCCCGAGATATGGGACTCCAACAACAAGCTGCACATGTGCCGTAGCGTCACCTCGCCCATGTGGACGGAGATCGCCGAGCAGTTTGGCGGCCATGTACCGACAGGTGAGTGGATGTGTCCCGACAGGGATGCCGCTAGGGATGGGCAGTCGTAAGCCTTGGGACCAGGGCCCCCCACTACTCTCTTCTCTTTCTTGATATTTGCCTGCGCCTGAGACCGGCGCGGATTTTGGTCGCTTGTTGCTGCGCTCTTGCTCGCTCTCTTTCGTTCGTTCGTTCGTTCTTTCTTTTGGCTTTACCTTCGCCGCGCCGCACAGCGCCACTGTCTCTTGCTCTCGTGCGAGTGTGTGCGTGCGTGTGCTAAAAATAGATACTCGGCACGTAAAACGCAGAACGGGGGAATAATAGAAGGTGCCTGCCGCCTGCAGCCTATGGCGAATATTGACAAACTTTGACTGATACTCGGGATGCAAATGCAAATGGAAGAAAAGATTATTCGGGACTCGAATATTAGAGTTAATAAGTTAAACAGGGGTGACTAATCCGATAAGAACAGAACTTACATCTAATTATGGGAATATATTTTATCTGAAAGCTAAAAGCTGCTTCCAATACACAGATCACAATTAAGTCGATATCAAGTCAATATTTTGAGAGTATTTCGATACAAAAATCGATTAATTTCTTGCCCTAACGATTAATATGATAATTTCCCGATTAAACCCCAGTCTCTTGCTTTTAATTGATGCTAAACTTTATCATTCCTTCCCCCCATTGATAAACCCAGTTAAACTTCAGTCGATCTGGAGCCAGATGAAGTACCATTACCACAATCTGGTGCATCGCCAGATCCTGCACAAGGAGCGCTTCAACACCAAGTGGGAGCACTTCGATCCCATGTCCTTCATGTACAACATCACCGTGGCCAAGATCGTGGGCGCCCAGGCCAGCGGCAGTGCCACAGATCCGCCCCCAACCACCACCAGCGACCAGCCGCTCCAGCTGGCCGTCTCTGCTCCAACGCTAGCCAATCCTGCCCCAATCGCACTGTCAACTCCGCCGCCACCGCTGCCCAGTGCATCCCATGGACGCGGACGTCCCAGCGGCAGCCTCAGCTGGCTGCACTCTCCTGTGCCGCCGCCGCCGCCGCACTCCCCTGCACCACAGCCGCCGCACCACCTGATGGGTCAGCCGCTGCCCTACACCGCCTTCACGGGGCTGCTGCCGCCGGCTGCCGTTCCAGCGGCGCCCCCAGTTGCGCCGCCGCGAAAGCTGGGCCGCCCCAGTTCGCTGCACAACAGCATGCGGAGCCGCATCATCGATGCCATCAAGGCACGGCCCTCGCTGTGGGCCGGGCGGCAGCGGAGCGAAAAGGGCCAGGGCCAGAGCCGCACCTCGGCCGTGTGGAAGGAGGCAGCCATCGAAATGGGACTAACGCCAAGTAAGTTGAACCGTGGGTGGAATTATTGATAAGTGACTATTGATGGATCGGTGCCAGTGAGTTAGTGGGAAGGTCAGAGGTCGAGTGATCTTATTGGAGGACTGACGTCTGCGTCTACGTCTACCCTTTCAGCTCTCATGCAGACCCGCTGGTCGATCATCAAGCAGCGGTACGTGGACGAGCTGCAGAAGGAGCGCTACGCTCAGTATTCGCATCAGGGATTCCGCTCCAACTGGGAGCACTTTGAGCGCATGTCCTTCATGCGCGACATCCTGCTGAAGAAGGTGGACGAGCGGGAGCAGACACGCGAGCACATCCAGGAGATAGTCAGCGAGCAGCAGCAGCAGCTGCAGCAGCACAACCAGCACCACCAGCAGCAGGTGGGACAGCATCTGCACCACTACCGGCCGCCGCCACCGAGCCTGCTCGGTCTGGCCGAACACGCCCAGGACATGCCCATTGGCCTGGTGCAGCACCAGCTGCAGCATCACGAGGGGGTGCACGTGCACCCATCGCTGGCCATGCATCCGCACCATCCGCAGGCCATACTCGCTGCCACCGGCGCCCGTCGACGGGTCAAGCACGAGTCAGACCTTGAGTGGGATCCATTCGAGATGATCCTCCATGTGCATGGCACGGGCGAGCCGCCGGCCGCCAACTGAACCAAGAGACTGAGCCCAGCCAAGCGGCCAAAACGGGAGAGACACAGACAGACAGGCAGGCAGATCCATGTCTTAAAAAATAATCGCCTGGATTAAAAACCCCCCCAAAAAAAAACACTACCACATGCAATACTCATACAATCCATTACCATTTTGTAATTTCACTTTCCACTACTTTGGCAGGCGGGAAAATACATCACTTAGCGTACACGAAATCGAATGAAGACTGTGGACATTTGTTCTGTGTGGAATAGAGGAATATTAAGGGTCAAAAGGTTGGGCAGACAACCCTACAGATGGGCAGGTTTTGTGCACAGTAAGTAAAAGATATTCGAATTGCAGAAGTCAAAAGAGAGTTCAAGCCGATTATAGAGTCTCCCTTAAGGACAGATCACTGGCAAAGTTCTCTCCTCAATCCTGTTCGAGCAGCCCCTCTCAGGTGCAGAGAAAAAAAACTACATAAATTATGCTAATTTTTACTATGTGTGCAACACATTTGTCGATTGCCAGAATCCCAAACATTTTGCGCGCTCTTCCCTTGCCCCCTTTGCACTGCACTGACGGAACTCATCCAATAAAGCTCTGCCTGTCTCTCGAACGGTGTGGTGGCGGGGGGGGCTTCGTTTGGTTCTGGCTGAGGGCCAGGCATGGCTCTGCTTAGCTCCACGCGTTATTCCAATCACGTGCCAGCCAGCCAGCGGAGCCAAGCCGAGCACAAGAAAAGTTCTCAAACTGTAAAACGTTTATCAAAATATCCCCCGGCCTTGCCATGCCTCATGGCCCACCCACCCCTCAATTCGTGTTCTATATAATTGGTTGCCTTGTCCTGGGGGCCAAAAAGGATTCTCGCCCACGATCCATGCGCCGCGTGGCGTGGCGCGGTGCGGCGCCGCCGTCTCCGACAATATCTTCAATAATAAATGCATTTCACTGTCGAATTTGCCGCATTCTGCACAACACACGTGCCTTAAATAATTCACATCGCATTTAGCGGCGTTTTTGCCAAGCCTCTAATGGGCCAGCCGATTTGTGTTGCAAGGGTCGACAAAGGGTGGGGCAGGGGCGGGCGTGGCACGCCGCCAGGTAAGTGGAAAGTAGTTGGCAGCCCACCTGCCCCCCCGCCGCCACACACCATGCCTTGCTTGCTCTCTGGCTGGAGGCGAAAATTTGCCTAAAAACTCAAGTAGTTTGCTCAAACTTTTATGCTCCGTGTATTTATCAACGCCAGCTCCGGACGGACGAAATGGCAAGAGGCGGAACGCAACCAAACGTAAAGAGAGAGTGAGAGAGAGTGAGAGAGACTCCGTGAAACACGGCCGTGGCAGCGCAGCAGCCTGGAGAAAGGACTGACTGTCTGCCGTGTAAAAGTTTCTCCTTTCCGAGTGTCAGTGGGGGGGTGTAGGAATACGAGTACGAGGTATGTAGGTGGAGAGGAGATGATGGAGCGTTATTTAAATGGTTTTCGGATGCGTACGTGCAAAAATGTTAGTATTAGAGGATGCCATGCCGCCCGGTATGCCGCCTGGGCTGTGCTGCACCCAAGAAAATATTTTTGCGATTTTTGTTTGTTCACTGAGCGACATAAATGGATGGCCAAATCACGGCGCACAGATTCGCGACACAACCAATATAAATTTTATGTGTTCTTAATTCAGAAATTTATTAATTTTCAAGATAATATTTGGCATACTTAATCTTTTGCATGCATGTCAGTACACTACTATTTCATTGAACACAACTGTATATGTATGTATTCCAATACATAGCTAATGGTCACAAATAAAAGTTATTTCTGATTTTAATAGTAAAAATCAGTTCATAATTTGAATTTCATCATTTTTTATTCTAAGAATAAATTGAATAGTTTTAAAATGAGAATAAAATTCCCACAGCTCATTTCATATTCGATATGGTTAATAGGAAAAACCCAATTATAAGAATTCTTTGCATATAGCTGCCATATAATTTGTATGGGTCCCTAGACACCCTTCAACGACTCTGGTCGATCTCCATGGGGAGCTGTTCAATTGTTTTGGCATACAGTTCGCCTTGGAATTTCATCGTTTGATAAACTAACATTTTTCCTTGGATTCTGTAATGGCTTTCGAGTGATGGGAGGGGGGGTGAACAGGGGAAAAGAGCTCCGGCTCCGCGTAAATGCTCGGGTGGTGATTCCTTTCCGGCGGATGTACGCACACACACGCACTTATCCACAGCTACAGGTACAGCTAAAGCCACAGTACTTTCCACGCCCACTCTCACACACACACACACACATGATAAGAATGCTTATGTGAATTATCGCACATTTTACGGTATTGGTGGAGAAGGAGGTGGGGTGGTGGTGGAGGAGTGCAAACAGACCCAAAAGAACTAGAAAACTTGTCTAAAAGTGCGCGCTCCACTCATATCTCTCAGGGCAGGGCAGGCCAGGACGGACATACCGACAGTAGCGCATAAAAACTTTTAAATTTACTTTTGCTAAGAGTTTCGCCCACGCCCACTCCCACGCTTCGAGCCGTACCCCTGCACAAATCCGCCGTACCATTGCCATGCATATTCATTTCAAAAATCCACACACACACACACATGGCCAAGTTTCTTGTAGAAGTAACTCCGCTCCGCCCGTTTCGCGCTATCCACGAGCTGTGAGAGAGCAAAACAGAAAAAAGTTTAGGCCAAGAGCTGGGCTCCTGGAGGGGGGTAGGTGGGTTGCTCTGGCTCCGCCCCAGTGCGGGTCCGGATACGAACCCGGAGCGGCATCGCTTAATAGAGCTGCCAAAAATGTTCATGTGCCTCAGGTTGCGCTGCGCGTCGCCGCTGCCGTTACATGCGCTCAAAATTGCTCACTTCTCGGGGGCGAATCCCCTAAAAAAAACCCCACAGCACAGCACAGCCCACTCCTGTGCTGCAGGATCCCACACCATCCCAAATACAACAAAAATCCTAGCCAATTCCCCCAACTGCCAAGCAACTATGATATTTCTGTCTTCCCCTTTTTTTTTCTTTTTTTTTTTTGCACTTCTTGTCTATGTCTTGGCCTTGCCACAGTGGGCCAAAACAGCTTTTGAATGTGGCTTTTAAGTTGCATAAACTGTTTTTTTCAATTAGAAATATATGGAAAGGGACAAATAGACTGATAAACAGGTTGAAGTGTGTTTTATGCTATATATTCAAATACTCTCGAAATGCTAGTCCCACTCTATTGAAGAAACCCTCAGGAGTTTACCCTGCCCAAAGCAAAACATAATAATAATACCATTTGGCCCTTTTACCTTTCCCCCACACTCTCTTGTATTTTTCTCCCTACCCCTTCGAAAAGCCTCTCGAAAATCAAACCTGGCCAAGATTCATATCGAAACTCTTGGGGTCACCTTTGAAAATAACTTCAGCTCGGTAAGTTCTTTATTTGACAAGTACCCCCACTGTGCCTTTTAGCCGCCGCTCTCCACTTTAAGCTGTCCTTTTTCAAGTGAGTGAGAGAGAGAGAGAAATGGGTTTGAAGAGGGACTCTGGTGGGGGAGGGGGATGGAATATGTTTGCTGTAAAATGTTGCCCCACGTATCCTGCAGCAATTCGTAAACTAATTCTACATACGTGCCCGTGTCAGCTATCAGCCATTCTCCTTCCAGGCCCTTTTTTTTGGTTCCCGCAGAGCGACCAAATCGTTACGTGCGTTACGTTGCCTTAGCCCCAAAAACAGAGCCCGAGCCCTGGCTGTGTGCGTCATGTTTTGATTGGCGTCATGTACACGGACGGATTCCGTACGGCTCTTCAGGCACGGCACTGCAGCAGAGCAAAGGCAAAAGGCGAAAGGCATGGGAAGGGAAGGGCAACGAAGGCAGCAGGTGATGGGGGTTGGTGGGGGGGTTAGATTCATTTTTTGCTAATAAATAATTGCATTTTCACCTCAAGAACTCACTGACAGACGATGCCCGCCGGGGCTACATGGGCTACATGATGGTGCTGTGGGGGTCCGGGCCAGGGGTGACACAATTCAATTTTCCGGCATTTCCGTTCCGTCTGCACGTTGGCTAGGGCTGTGCACAGGAGAGAGAGAGAGGAGGGGAGTGGAGTGGAGCGGAGCGGACAGGAGAATTTCCAGTTTTTGTAATTCCATTTCTGATTTCATATTTTGCTGTCACTGTGAAATGATTCAATTTTACAGATTTCTGACGCAGGGAATGGGCACTACACACACACACACACACACACACACACACACATGTATTTGCATGCAGAGAATTTTCATCTGTGTGTGTGTGTGTGTAACGCTTTTTTGTTGCTGTTATCAATCACAAGCGAAATGCGAATTGTGCGCAAATTTGTTGCATACGCAAGAATACGCCTCACAGTCCGTACTCGTAGTCGTATACGTTATATCAGCATGGCAATCAAGGCGTCGCATCGCATGATTGACAGACGGATTGGTATTTTATTTTTTTGGGATATCTTGCAGCTGGGATATTCAGTGACCCGAAACAGTGGCAGCGGCAGAGGCAGCGGCAGGCGGCAGCGGCAGAGTGTGTCCGTATCTATGGATATGCCCATCTATCAGATATTGCCTCTCTCTCTCTCCCGCTGTTACGTATAACTAGGCACCATCGATGTCAGGGCCTCTCGCTGTCAGATTGAAAACATTAAAAATTCGACTTTTGATATAAAACTCAATCAAATCTTGAACAAATTTTGAACATTATGACACTTGCTCTGATTGATTCAATTTGAATATTCATTTGGTTGCTCTGCAAATGCAGTCTTGCGGATGATTCAGTGCTACGGCCAGAGTTGCGAATATTTGCACGTTGAGTTAAGAAATTATTTTCATATATTTATATACTTCTTATATCTTCGGTTTAATTTACAATCTGATATGCAAAATATTGGATTTAAATGTACGTTTTATTTTAAATAAATATATTTAATATTAAATTAAAATTAATCAATATAAAAATATGTTATTTAAATGCATTTTATATTTAAAATCAATTATTTCATATCAAACTATTGAATGTAATTTTGTTTATTTTAGAATATTTTTTTTAATATATTTGGGCTGTTGAGTTACGACTTTTTCAATTCATTTATATTTAAATCAAAGTGTATTCC